CAATGGCTCTCGAAAGCAGTGCCTTCAGAAGCAAATTTCTCGACACTGACGAACTTCTGAGTTATGTTAGCTGGTTTGCGGTAAGAAATTTGTCATCTTGTTCGCCTATGGTTCATACCCTTTTTTGTTAATCTCGAAATATGGTTTTCATCAGGTGATTTCTTTCTCTTTTTTGACAGACGTTTAGCCACATAGTCCCCCCATGGCTGCGGAAAACAAAAGTTGCAAAGACAATGGGCAAAGTGCTTGTGAATCATCTTGGACTTAACTTAACCAAAGAAGATTTGGAGAATGTGGTTGATCTGATGGAACCATATGGACAAATAAGCAATGGAATAGAACTTTTGAATCCTACTGTTGCTTGGACGAGGGAGACAAAGTTCCCACATGCTGTCTGGGCAGCTGGTCGTGCTCTTATTGCACTTCTAATACCAAACTTCGATGTTGTGGAAAATCTTTGGCTTGAGCCTAGTTCCTGGGAAGGAATTGGGTGTACAAAAATCACCAAGGTCACAAGTGGAGGGTCTGCAATTGGGAATACGGAATCAAGATCATATCTTGAAAAAAAGCTCGTTTTCTGCTTTGGATCTCATATTGCGTCCCAAATGCTTCTTCCTCCCAAAGATGAAAATTTTCTTTCTTCTTCAGAAATAACTAAAGCCCAGGAGGTAAACTCTTTCTATTCTTTCGCAGTATGTTGCCGTCTACAAACTTAATGTTTCGTTTCCCTATGATTATCATTTGTGTTTTGCGACAGATTGCGACACGTATGGTGCTTCAATATGGCTGGGGACCCGATGACAGTCCTGCGGTACACTATGCTACTAACGCGGTAACGTTCTTTCTTATGTTTGTAATTAGTTCCATTCCAAGATTAAATGTCTGCTGCCACTGAACCAACATGTTAAAAACTGAACATGGTAATTCTTACATACAGTTTCCATTCATTCTGTTGTCTCATCTGATCAGTTGATTGACCTTATAGTTTTTTCTGTTTGGTTTATTTGATTCTAATTGAGCAGGTTTCAGCTTTGAGTATGGGAAACAACCACGAATACGAAATGGCGGATAAAGTTGAAAAGGTTGGTTTTCCTCTCTGGTTTCCCATACGTTCTTAATATCTGCCATGTCTGTGGTGCCTCTCTACCGTCTGCAATTTTCTACTTCACATTTTGGTAGTTCATTGTCCAAGGCAAAATGACCTCTTTAATCTCATATTTCCCTTCCACAGATTTATGACTTAGCGTATGAAAAGGCAAAGGGAATGCTCCTTAAAAATCGCCGTGTCCTTGAGAAAATCACAGAGGAGCTACTCGAATTTGAAATCTTAACTCAGAAGGTTAAATCTTTTCGATGTTGGGATCAAATTAGAATGAAGGATTGCTCCAAACAACCTGTGCATATAAAATCTTATCAAATTTTGTTTTCCTCGAATGGTTTGCAGGATCTTGAAAGAATTGTACATGAGAATGGGGGGATTCGGGAGAAGGAACCTTTCTTTCTCTCAGGGACCGATTACAATGAGGTAAGTAGGAAACCTTTAAGCATTTTCTGCTGATATTGCTTAGTGCTTACTTTTTTTTGTTTGTTTGCAGCCATTGTCAAGGAGTTTTCTTGATGTTGGAGATACGCCGGAGACTGCACTTCTTAGTGCACCAACCTAGAAGAAATGAAGATGATTACATATTTTGAGGATAGAGTTTCTTAGCATATCTTTTTTATCTACTACAGTATGTATTAAAATGGGAATATTGTATTTTTTATTTATAAAAGTAACATTTACTAATGAAATTTAAAAATAGAATTTATGAAGATTTTAATATTTGAGGAATCGAACCAGTCACCTAAATGCCTACTTCACAAGTGCGGGAACCAATGGACCAAATGAGAAATCTCCGCCTGAAGGGCAAATTTAATAGTAGTTTTTTGAAGAAAGGCCGAAGCAGATGCATTGACTTGTTGCTTCTACTCAAGGGCCCTCTCTGTCTGGACTAGTGCCACGTGATCCCGAATCCATGATGAGACTCAACTCGAGTTTCTGGGTTCTGCTCTTCTCAATCACGTTTCTTTCAATCCAATTCAAGAGTTCCTTTGGATCCGAATCAACTAAGGAAGCTTACGTCACACTTTTGTATGGAGATGAGTTCTTATTGGGAGTTAGGGTATTGGGCAAATCGATCCGAGACACTGGATCCAACAAGGACATGGTCGTTTTGGTCTCTGATGGTGTTTCAGACTACTCTAAGAAGCTACTCAAGGTTTGAGAAATTCTCATTTCCTGTATAAACTTTCTATTCCTAGAAGTTTAACGATCTAAAAAAGGAAGGATTTGTTTTTATGTTTACATTACTACTAAAGGCTGGAGTTTTATTATATCTCTTAGGCTGATGGATGGAAAGCAGAGAAGATTAGTTTACTGGCAAATCCAAACCAAGTTCATCCCAAGAGATTCTGGGGTGTTTATACAAAACTTAAAATATTTAATATGACTGATTACAAGAAAGGTTAGTGATTTGTGTTCTGCAAAATTAGAGCTTTGTTTCCCATGTTTATGTTATGTTTATATGTCACTGTTTTTGTTTGTTACAGTTGTGTATCTCGATGCTGATACTATTGTGGTAAAGAACATCGATGATATGTTTAAATGCTCCAAGTTTTGCGCTAATTTGAAGCACTCTGAGAGGTTGAACTCTGGAGTTATGGTTGTTGAACCCTCTGAAGCTTTATTCAATGATATGATGAAGAAAGTGAAGACTTTGTCGTCTTATACTGGTGGAGATCAAGGGTTCTTGAATTCCTATTATCCAGACTTTCCGAATGCTCGAGTTTTTGATCCTAGTTTGTCCCCTGAAGTCATGAAAACAAGACCAGTTCCTAAAATGGAAAGGCTATCTACGTTATACAATGCAGATGTTGGTCTGTATATGCTTGCCAACAAGGTATATTTCAGTTTCAAGTTTGAGTTTAAGCTAATCTTTAGTTTAGTTACATGTATGTACCTGTAACTTCTATTTTTTCCTGTCCTAAGCAAACTGATGTGAGCTGAAATGTCTGTGGCTTAGTTTTGATTATTTAGAAGCTTAAGATTCTCCTTGTTTATGCAGTGGATGGTCGATGACAGCAAGCTTCACATTATTCACTACACTCTCGGCCCTCTTAAGCCTTGGGACTGGTGGACAGCATGGCTCGTGAAACCTGTTGAGGCGTGGCATGTAGGTATTCTTGTTTGTATTTGTAAATTTCTCATTGTTTCTGGAAAACATTGAGTTCTTTTGATTGAGTTTCTAAGACAACTGCAGAGCATTAGGGTTAGGCTTGAGGAGACTCTTCCTGGAACTGGAGGTGGAAAAACCCCAAATGATGAATTCATGGTCAAGTTCCTTTTCTTGTTACCACTCTGTGGGATTTTGTTCTGCCTGTATCGTTCCATACAGGTTAGAGTTCTTCGTGTACCCAACGATTTCTTTCATCTCAGCCAAATTCATCTCTTTTGGATCTCAATTTCATTTTGCTACTGCAGGGACGTGATTTCTTGGGTTCAATGTGCAGGAGCTCATTATGCATTCAAATCAGACATCTTTATTACAAAGTTAGATCTAATGGAACAATTGGTTATAGCGGTGTATCAACTTTGTCTACCATGAATTCCAACTATCAAGTTAGTTTTCTTTGCCAGATTGTTCTTAACACATAATACCTACTTACCTGCCTTTTTTTTCATTTCGAAAAGCTAGGAAATTCTTTAATGTTCAATCTCCATCACTGCAGCTTCATATCGGTTCACATTCTAAGGTTCCTCAATACTTGGGGGCAGTCTCAGTTGCAGTTTGTTTTGTGGCTGTGTTGACATCCATTGGCGTTTCCTTTATGATTGTGCCAAGGCAAATCATGCCATGGACTGGCTTGGTTTTGATATATGAGTGGACATTCACAATCTTCTTCCTCTTATATGGTGTTTTTCTACTTCTAGTGTATCAGTATGGCAAGAAAATCGCTGTTCAAACAGGATCTCTTTCACCGAAAACAGAGTCGTCACTGGATGATTCGGGAAAGGGTATGAACATGTTGAAATCATAATATCGATATATGTGGCTTTCTCTTTGGCCAAGTCTTCACATTCTGTGAGCTATATATCCCCAGAGACACAAATGTCTTTCTCTTTTTTTTTTTTTTTTTGTTATCACTAACTTATTTGACAAATCAACAGGCCACCAGCGGGAAGATGCGTCTTGTGACTTTACTACATGCTATTATGGATTAGGGATGGCATTTTTGGCAGTGGCTGCTATATCTTTGCCCTACCTTTTAGGGGTCACCGCTTTATTTTTGAGGTAACTTTCTTCACATTGGCTGTATCATTAGCATCAAGAACCAACCCATAATTTCAACATCATCCGCTGACCAGGAAATCTCTAATTATTTGCTTATGTTCCTCTTTGGTCTTAAAATCACCTGGGAATGTGTTGCTTATTCTTATAGATTGTTGTTGATTCATCATACTCGATTTGAGTAGATTAGGATCTGTCTGGATGAATTTTGTTTTCACTTGTATGTACTAACTGGCTAGTTTCTGCTATACATTGAGCAGGTTAGGTCTGATGATAGCCGTAGCCATGGTTCTAGTTTCATTCATGACCTATGCTTCCGAGCACCTTGCAATTAGATGGTTCCTCAAAGGTCTAGAAAACCGTGACACGACGAGAACAAAGTCAATCTGCTTCCTCTGCTGACACACACACACACACACACACACACAAAAAGCGTGTCACAATGTAACTCACAAGTCACACAAAACAACTTTATGATCTCTTTATTCTGTTACTGTTAGGATAACTCTTGAGTTTTGTTCTTTTTTGTGTTATTATCTTATTGTGTTTTTCTAAATGGTTCCAGTTTGTAACCCATGTCATGCTTTACAACAAAATCATTTTGGCTATCGCATTTAGTAATAGATTGGGAAAAAAAAGCAACTTGAATTAGATAGTAACATGAATACGCAATAAATGAACCTTCTCATGATCTCTTCATTCTGTTAGGAAATGACTCCAAGTTTTGTTCTTTCTTGTGCTACTATATCATTTATTATGTCGTATTCATGTTCTTACAAGAAGTTTTATTTTGAGTTTGAAAATGAAAACATTACATCAAAAAGGAACATTTTGCCTTAACTTATAGTCGTCATGTTCTTGTAGAAATAAATCTCCATCTCGCCAGACAACCTCTTCGAGAGCAGCCTATATATCGGATACTCGTTGCTCAAACTGATAGTCGTTGGAGAGTCAGTGTCGTCACCGAAAGTGAACTTGTAGTATTCGTTGGTTTTATGGATGGCGAACGTACTGTCATTGTTTGACTTAGATTTAGAGCCGTTGAGGACTACTTCACCTTCTAAAGAGCCTCTCTGAACTACTCTCCAAAACCCGGACTCACCACACTGACGACAGGGATTCACGAACTTGATCTTTAGTTTTGCTGATTCACGTACGACATCTGATTTGGTTGCCAATACAAACATGACTTGTGTGGGTGCTGACATGTTTGGATTGGTGACCATTAACGGCTGTTTTGGGCATGCGTTGGGATCAGAAGATCCCCATTTCATCCGGCATATCCACATGTTGTAGTCCGAGGTCATGAAGCTGATGTAATACGGCACGTTGGGCTTAACCGGATCTCCTTCGCCGTCATAAACCACGTCGGTCCCCTCACCAACCACACCGGATGTTGTTGTTATTGCAACGAGCAAGAAAGAGAGCATCATCACCCGGAACGTTCTCATCTTTGTGTTGTTGTTTTCTGTCTTTCTTGCTTTTTGTGTTTGATATCAGTGCTCCTTTTATAGGGATTATGGAAATAGTGAGTCGGTTACAATACCCATTATTTTTCGTCTTCGCATGTTGTACTTGCTTCCTAAAAGCTTCTACGCACTTTCTTTTTTCCTTACGATATGGATCTTGTTTACGAGGTGGATCTAAGTCAAAGCTACAAATTAAACTAGTTTTAAGAAATGATAAATTAGTGTTAAAACTTCCGATATAATAAGTGACCATTTGAGATGATGATATGAGCTCATTCCTACAATTGTACACTATTATCTATCGAAGTTAGTTAATGGCGGAATATATATGCATGTACAAAGTACAAACTTACATTTATAGAGATTACAAAAAATAATGGCTTCGATACCACTCGTAAACACTTCTTTCCTCCTTAAAATATGGTGATTACAAGTGGATTATTATTTTTTGTCAATGCCGCATACTAATTGACAAATAAACACGTTTCAACTTTCATGGCGGCGATCGAGCGAGTAATCTGAAGTGGACTTTCTAATTGACCAAAGATAAATTAATCAGAGCAATATATGATAATATATGTCAAGTGTAATTTTCCTTTAACAAGGGGAGGCGAAACACTGAGTAAATTCTTACGTTTGCTCTACGCAATTGAAGATATTCATGATTTGAGTGTCAAGGAGCCTAACTTTAAACTCTGGTCTCTTTATTACACCATGCATGTCTTCTTTTAAATCGGCTGGTTTGGTGTCAAAGAGCCTAACATTAGTTTTCCGGTTTGGTTTCGTTTTTTTTTATAACCATTTGTTCGATAGTTGAGGTTCGGTTTGGTTTAATTTGGTTTCAATCTCGATCACTGTTCTTTTAGCAAAGAGTTTGTGGTGTGGTGTGGTGTGGTGTGGTGTGGAGGGGAAAGAATTGATTTTTTTTTGCTTTTCGTTCTCAGTTTTTGGTTCTTCTGAATTGAATTTGAGTTAAATGTAGAGAACAGTAATAACCATCAGTTGTGTATGGCGAATCTGCTGTATCTTCAGCTTTCTTCTAGCGTCTTCAGAGGTAGGTACTGTTCTATGAACTGCGATTTTGATCTCTGCCCAAGTTTCGTGAGCCGCGGTTCCTTTGATTGCCGCGCCTCCCGCGGTCCTAGCTGGGAGGAGGAGCTCTTCCGCGACGATGGGTTTGCTGGATTCGCGTTCGGGAACCGTAAGAAGAAGAGGCCGTGGTGGTTCGATGATGATGACGATGACGATTATGATGATTGGATGAATGAAGAAGAAGATGATTGGACTATGGTTTTTGAGGTATTTGCTTCTTCTTTTCGGGAATTTCACGAATTATAGTGTTTATCTCTTGGAGAATTTAATCAGTAAAGTTGCTCACTTTGAATTCGTAATGTTTGTTTTTTTAGTTGTTAGCTCTCTTTAACAAATATTATAATTGCAGGTATTTAGGACTTTGAGTTGGATGCTTGCACCCATTGGCATCTCTTTGCTTCTTGGAACGGATTCAAACGCGGGTTTAATGGCATTAGCAGTTCCTTTAGTACAGTCTGTGTTGTCCCTTGTGGTTAGTAAGGTCTGGAGCAGGTCAAGCACTAGACCTATGAAAAGAAGCAGAAGAGATGTATTTTCAAGATTTGGGAGTGTGGGAAGTGCAAGAACAAGGAAATCTAAGCAAGGAGAAAACATGAGGGGTGGTGTGGATAAGGGAGGATACAAGTCATGGATTGTACGAGACGCTGATTCTAACAGCATGGGTACTGGATATGGAGGATGGGATGATCTAGACACGCAAAGGGAGATTAGAAATGGCAATCCGTCAAACGAGAATGTTCGTCCAAAACAACAGTTTGAAAGAAAAGCTAATCGGCGGTGGAGAGTTAAGGAGAAGCCATTGCTCTTGAGGATGCTAATTGCTGCCTTCCCTTTTTTGGGCTCGTGGACCAAATTGTTATTTTGATGAGGGATTTTTCCAAGTCCTTACAGTGTGGAGAAGTACTGTTTTCGTTTTCACGTGGGTTGAAAAAGGACTAGAGTTTCTCTAAGGATTGGTCGTCAAATGACTTTAGTTATCACAATCTTCCTGGAATCCTAAAGGTTAGCTTTCAATTATCTTGGAACTTGGAAGTTAGAATACACCTCTTACTTGTGATAAATATGCATATTCTGTAAGTTGAGAATATATGCCTGTCAGAGATTTGTGTTTCCATAAATGCAAAGGTGTAATAGTTCTGGTTTTGTACAGACTAAGTAGTATCTTATTTTTTATATAATCAGCACCAGTAATTTGTGATGGCGTACCAGATGCTGCTGCTACTGTTCTTTAGTATGTGAGATTTAAGATTACATACTCTTCTACTTTATCTAGTCAGGAAGCAATACTGCTAGAATATATGCTTTCAGATTTATTTGGTTCACATGTTATATTAAGATATTTATGGGGTTCTTTTTATGGTTTTCTTAGTGATAATAACCAATGGCCTCATGATAAGAATCTTTGATAAAGACCCTTTTAAGAGTAAAGAACAATATCTGTTTATTGGGAATCCTTTAGTTAGCAAGTTTCTTTAGAACGAAACAGGAATACATATCTATGATGAGAAAATATACAGTAAACAGTTAAACTCACAATATATATTTCACTAACCTTCATTGAATTATGCATATTCTAATCGAAAGTGAATTAAGTGAATTAACATCTTTCGTCACTTCAAAGTTGAACCTAAGTTTCAGAAGCTTAGGAATACATTTACTTTTATGATCAGCAACCCTTTACCTTAGTCTATTTGAACCAGGTAGAGAGCGTAACTCGTGATCTGGTTTACTGCTGTCTGGATAAATTTAAGTTTCAAACTGAAACCAATAGTTCTTTCTATGAAAACAAAGAAGTTACATCTGAAAACATAATCTAGGTAGGCTTTATACATCCTAAGCATTGTCTTTTTGGTTTCTCTTTTACAATTTATTGTCTGAATATAAATTCTTTTAGGCTTCATGGTGATAAAGACTAACCCAAAACTAGATTTTTATTAGGAAAAACTATGGAGAAGTAGGAGGATCGAACTTGTAGTGTTTGTCGATGAAAAGTGATACATCCCAAGTGCAGCTAAGTCCCTTGGGGATGGTCACAAGGTCTCCTGCACCAAACTCTACAAACTCAGATGACCCTTTTGGATACACCTTCACCTTTCCCTTCACCAAATAGCATGTCTCTCTTTCTTCAAATACCAATGCATATTTTCCGGGCTGGCAAGACCATCTATTTGTCAGAGAAATTCATCATGTTATTACCAATATTATGAGGAATGGAAAAAAGGGAAATCTTTGTGGTTAGTAGTGATAGGAGCAGAGCATGTGCATGTCTGATACTTACTTAGGCCAAGACATGACTCCGAGGTCAGATAATTTTCTGCTTGAAGGGTTGCGTTCGATTGCAATATTCATTTTGGAAGAGGAATAAGGTTAGAATTCGACGATGTTTCAATGTTGTTATATAGAACAGAAGAAAACAGTGAGAAAGAAGGATAGGAAGAAAGTAGGTATATGAGATGTATTTATATGGTGAAGGACAGAGTAGTTGGACTGCATGTGTATGTATATATAAAAACAGGAATGAATAAAGTGACTTCTTCTTTTTCCCCTTCTATTGAAAGTGATGATAATAGGAGAGAGGAATCTTTAAAGAAACACTTTGACCCAGGATGGATACAAAACAAAGTCAATAAATACATCCATTAACCTGCATTTTTAAGATAGCCATTGTAGGAGTATATAATATTACTAGTTTTCTACTTGTCATGATTTCATTAACCTGATTGAGAAAGTTTCTCAAGAAGGCAAAATGCTGATTTAGTTCTTCCACAAGCTTTAATGATAAATCCAGATCGAGTCTCCAACCACATGGACCCGTTCTGTTTTGTCTCTGCGCCCATTATGCTTTCCTTTTCACAGTATTTAGGAGTAACAGCGTATTCTTAGCTGAAACTCAGACTAGTCTCCGGACAATGTAGCCACCATGTGCATTCTGAGTGATCAAGTGGGTACACTCGAGAGGATTATATAGGGTCTAACATTGTCAGCTGTTATGCAGTATTAATCTGGATTTGTGTAGCTTCTAGTTATGCATCAGTTATTCAGCTGTATTAGAAGTTTTTTTTTTTTTGCTGTGAAGATTGTTCATATCGTCAGTTTATTAAATTAAAAATGGTTTTGGTATTTAGTTTCGAGAATGTTTGACTGGTTCTTCAGAGGAAGATACGTGATAATTCCGGACATTGATTTGTGTAGCCCACCTCCAGGCTCTAGTTTGGCTGCTTCCTCAACTGGCTCTGTTTGTTTTTTTATTCTAACATGTCATGGCATGTGAGGATTAGTACTGTTATCTCCTAATATATGCATGCAACAAAATAGCATATCCTCATATTTTGAATGCTAGTATTTGCAAATCTCGGTCTGTCTGACCAGAGTAATATGAACAAGTGATAAAGAATGGCAGCTACGTTCAGATTTTAGAATGAAAACAAAAATATGTTCATGTGAACACCCTCCTTATGAATTTGGAAACAGGGTCTTCTTACTTTGATTTGGTTTGGTCATATTCACACATGGAAAGCCTGTGTTTTGTTTGTATTACTCAGATCTCCAAGAAAGTTAGTATACAAATGCTTGGTGTATTCAAGCTTACAACACTGCACGACGTCGTATAGGGACGTTAGTTGGAAAAAGCAAGGACCTGGAAAGCGACGACGTTTCTGAGTACTATTTGCAAACGTCGTCGTTTGCTTATCCCGATTCGAAGTGTTGGAAAGCCTGGTCCACGTTTTAATATAGACCCAAATTCGACAGATCTGAACCAATCCCAACAGTCCACAATTCTTTCTTCGGCCCATACAGTTATTTTTCTGTTTTTTTTGTTCTTTAAAAAAATAATCTTCTCTTTACGAAAACAAAGGGTTTTGAAATTTTGAATTATCTTGAGGTTGGTTGATTTTTCTCCACGGATGGACATCATTTAATTTATACTTTATAACTTTTCGAATAAAGAAATTTGATAATTTTAACCATTAGGGTAACTTTTTTTTTTTGTTGTTGTTCAACAAACCTTTAGGGTAACTACAGTAATAAGAATTAAATAGCCGGAAAAGGTTGGTATGTACGAGTGACATGAAGATGAGATATTTTACTGTTGTCTCTGCTTTTATGTAATTCTTCTTTGTTCAAAAAAACTCATAAATAATGATGCAGTCGGATAGGGTAGCTTCATCGTGTTAATTTATGACGTGAGCTGGTCGAGTTGGTAGATCTCTTAACTTCACTTCTATTCCTCTCTCTCTCTCTCTCTCTCTCTCTCTCTCTTCAGTAATTTTGGTTTTTTCTTGGATAGAAAACAAAGAAAAGTCTTATTTTGATCTGCTGAATTTACTTTACTTCATTTTGACATTCTGCATGGTATTTTCTTAAATCCTAACCCATTTTTTTTTGTAATGTTCCTGCATTAATCAACGTAAAGTATAGATAGACCATATATATATGGATCAATTAACTAAAACTAGTGCATGTCTTACATTATTCTTTTACCAAATGCAAACAAAAAATGGGTTGTATAATAATCATTTTTAATACTAGCTAAGGAAGGTAATAACCCCCGCATTTCAAGAAAATAAAATATACTACTAGTACTTAATATATAGTATTACACACAACCAAATCGAACAATATTGTAATACTAGAAAATGAAATACTTTTACAAATCAGCATGGTATCGAACACACGACCCATTCCATTGACATTCATGACACTTTATTTGTGTTTTCTTAATGCTTTAATTTGCGTAGTTTAATTTGTACACTTTAATAACGATATAACTTTTAGCGGAGGCATGTAACCACATCATATATTGTTGTAATTAGGTTAACAATCAAGTCACTGCATCTCCGTTTGTCATATTGAGTAAACACGACACTACACAAAAATGTAGACGAAGAACGTGCGGTACAAATTTTTTAAAACGAATCAAGTGGTCGTAACAGCCGGTTTCTCACATATATATATAATTGTCCAAATCGATGATCTCCATACCTAATCACTTCAAAATTGACACATGCATATCTAGCTTGAAGATATTGATATCAGTATAATTAACATCCAAATCAAAAACATTATGATGTCACAATATTGATTCCAAGGGCTCCAAGAGAAATACCATTTTAGGAGAACAAGCGTACAGTACCATTTCTACCATTTATTACATCCAAACAACAAACAAGACCAAATTTTTATAGTCTATAAGTTGGCAGCCTCTATTCAATGTCACTCTTCTTAAAAACTCACACCAACAAATTTTAAAGAAAAATAGAAAAAAATAAAACATATACATATCTATCGACAACTAACCATCGTCAGTGTATATATATAACACATCATCCTCCATATGCTCTCATATCATACGTCAATTTGAAAACATATCTCCTCCCTCATTCGTCCTCTATAGTCCCAGTCTCTCTCTCCATATAACTATGGATACCAAATTGTCTCCGCTAGGGTTTCTAATCTCACTCTTCTTCATTGTTACTTCTCTTGCACCACAAGTCAAATCATCTAGGGCTTTCTTCGTCTTTGGTGACTCTCTCGTCGACAATGGAAACAATGATTACCTCGTCACCACTGCCCGCGCTGACAATTACCCTTATGGTATCGACTACCCGACCCGTAGACCCACCGGACGTTTCTCTAACGGTCTTAACATTCCCGACATTATCAGTAAGCACACATATATATTTTTATTCATTCGAGGACGATATAATGGTTTATACTATACGATAATATATATGGTTATTTAAATCAATAGTCTTTAATGATTTTTTATTCCGTATAACTCTACTAGGTGAGGCTATTGGCATGCCGTCGACATTGCCGTATCTTAGCCCGCAACTCACCGGAGAAAATCTTCTCGTCGGCGCTAATTTCGCCTCCGCCGGAATTGGAATCCTCAACGACACTGGAGTTCAATTCGTAAGCAACTTCCGAATTTTTAAAATATTGTTGCATTAAATAACGTATCTAAGTGTTGGGTTGAAAAGACATCTTTACCCTCTTACTAACCTTCGTCTCGGGGTCACTATTGCCTTTAAGTGAAAATATTAAGGTAAAAGATTATCCTTAAAACTGAGGCTATATCCGTCTTTTATGAGCTACACCAGGAAAACTCAATAAACACGTGATTTACGAGACTGTCCTTTAAATGTCAATTAATGAACGCAATTGTTAAAAATGAAGGTTAATTTAGTCTTTTTCATTTCAAACGCTGCCGCTTTCGCCCGTTGTAATTTTTAAAAAGCTCATTGTTTAATAACGTAATTATGTTGTTGTTTGGCAGGTAAACATAATTAGAATATCTAAACAGTTCGAATACTTCCAACAGTACCAGCTACGGGTGAGTGCAATGATCGGACCAGAGGCTACACAACAGCTAGTTAACCGAGCTCTTGTCCTGATCACACTCGGTGGCAATGATTTCGTCAACAATTATTATCTCATTCCCTTTTCAGCTCGTTCTCGCCAATTCGCGTTACCCGACTACGTTGTGTATCTCATTTCCGAATACGGAAAGGTTCTCAGAGTAAGAAGATATACATTTCTACTTCTATTTAACTTTCACGTTATAATATTATTGAGAGTCATGTAACTAAAATCATCGAACCTTGATTATTGCATTACTATCATTTAGCTAGTACGTACAGTATTAAATTGTTGTCTCACTATAGGAAATTGCATTTAATAACTGACCCCCAATAATTTATTTCGATATATCACTATGTAGTTAATGCCATATATGATTCTCTTGAACATAACGTTCAAAAAATAATAATGGGGCACTTTTAATGACTTTTTCCTTGTCATTAATTTAGAATGTAATAATAACAATGATTTATTTAGTTTTCCTTTTTATAGTGCATGACTATAACTATTTTGACTATAATTATTTATTTCCTCTTTGGTTTTTTCATTGCAAAAAGAAACTATACGAACTGGGTGCAAGACGAGTTTTAGTAACTGGAACTGGTGCGATGGGATGTGCACCCGCGGAACTGGCTCAGCATAGCCGAAATGGCGAGTGCTATGGCGCCCTTCAGACAGCAGCCGCTTTGTTCAATCCTCGATTAGTTGATTTGATCGCATCAGTCAATGCTGAAATTGGCCAAGACGTTTTCGTGGCAGCTAATGCCTACCAAATGAACATGGATTATCTAACTAATCCAGAACAATTCGGTAATTATATAACCCATCTCTTCATAACTTCGTTCAGTAATAACTAGAAATATAAATATTTAATAGTACATAGTTGTAAAACATTGGAAAGGGTTTAGTTCTTGATTTCAGAGTAACGAAAAAATAACAAGCAAAATCAAGATTGGACCAAATAAGATTTTTTTTTTTATAGGCATAAAATTAAAGGACCATATTTTTGGAGTTATGTTTTGTTGTATGAGTACGAAAACTTATAAATGAGCACGACCACTTTGTAGGGCCATGTTATAGCATTAAACATAAAATTGATATTTTCACACTTTTTCAAATAAAAAACAACATTATATAGATAAGTATTTAATACGTACGTACGTGTATGTGTCGGTTTCTATATATAAGCCGTATATTGCTTAACAAAAGTACCTGTCTGGCTTTAAAAAGTTACATTTGAATGATGTACCTTTTCTTTTTTCCATAATCCATCTCACTCGAAAACAATTCATAAAGATTATAGCTAGCGAGATAGTACTTGTAAGCATTTATAAAAAGAATAAGTTGATAAATTTGTGTGTGTGTGTGTAGGGTTTGTGACATCCAAGGTGGCATGTTGTGGGCAAGGACCATACAATGGCATAGGACTATGCACGCCAATCTCGAATTTGTGTCCAAACAGAGACTTATATGCGTTTTGGGATGCGTTTCACCCGACAGAGAAAGCCAATAGGATCATCGTTAATCAAATCCTGACCGGATCCGCCAAGTATATGCACCCTATGAACCTTAGCACCGCCATGCTCTTGGATTCTACAAGAATCTAGTTTTTAAGTGATATCTTTCAATGAAAATGTCAAGGTCATTCCTTTTGTAGTTTGCATTGTTGTTGCTCTGTTGATTGATGAGTTTGTTTGATGGCTATAATTAGTTCAATTAAGAGAGTTATATTTGTCGGTGATGTGGTTTGATGCCGTTGCTTGTTGTATCTTGGTTAGTTTAGTTTAGTCCTTTTTGGTGTGTGTGCCAATTATCATGTAATGTTTTGAGTGATTAATGATATATGGTTTTCTTTCCTACTCGAGATGATTGACATTTCATCGAGTCCACTAGCTAGTGTTGAACTTGAATATAATTATCGAACGAACTCGATCCGAACAAAAAGAAAAAAGGATTTGGCAATCGACCAATCTTAGTATGATTAACGTGATCGAATATCCATAGTACACATAAAACAATCATACATGCATGGTAAATGAAACTCACAGATATTAAATGATATCTGATCAGTGATCACCATCAAAAAGCTTAACATACTCTCAAAGAGTTATTGAGGGTTACATCTAAATTAATACAATAATCAGTCAAGGATATACAATTTCTATTTTTTTTTTTTTTGTAAACAATGAGCCATTAATGATTAGTTCTAAATGTTCTAAGTACTATATATTACATATATAGGTCCATGAATTGAAGTATAGTAAGTCATCTCATCAGCAAAAAAAAAAAAAAAGACTGATTACTGAAATAATTATTGATATTATGCGACAAGTGATATAATTACTGAAGCTTGTAGATTGACAGAGTAGCAAGCTGATTTAATTGAAAATATATGTTAGACTCATTGAGTGTCGACTATGTGAGGAAATTTAAGAATGGCAGCACATGACTTAGTCTATATATGTATTCATTGGGTTTGTTGTCTTATATTTGCTCAAACAAAGGGAGACACAGTTTAAGTCTTATTTATCTCTTTGCCGGAAGTAAACTCTTTTATTATCATTATACACGAAATATCTACATATACATACTGATACTGTTGCATGCATGTTGTTGTAATAATGATATGTAGGGTGTGTATATAATATATATGTACTTTTTCGAAAAATATTCTTGTCGCAATACATTACTGTGGATGTGGTAATGCATCGTTATTAATATGCCAAGGAGGGAAGAAAGAAGAAGAGTACACAGAAGAAGTTTGTTGAGGCATTTCCACAGATACTGAAATGTGAATAATAGATAATAATAAAGGAATCGAGTTCTAGTTGGTGGAGTGGGTGAAATCTTCTTTATTTACCCTCCTTCGTATTTAAACTTTATAATATACAAAGTAGAGAAGTTAAAGTTTTCATATGCTACTTTCACCACTGTTGACATTTATTGATGGACCCTTGTCAGTTATTTATCACAGCATCATATTCATACCATTGCAACCCTATATATGTAGAAGCCAATTTAAATTAAAATTTTTGTTTTATTATAAAGTATATAAACCCATACTATTCAACGGAACCACTGGTGCACTTGTTTGCAAATAGATTAGAGTTTTAAGCCTTATTCGTGTTGACCAAAAAAAAAAAAAAAAAGCCTTATTCGTATTTCGTATTGGTCCCAATGGGCTACTAAAACAGTTCTACGATTGTGTTTCTTTCGTATTGGGCCCAATAGTAAGTAAGTATAAAGTGCGACCAAAAAAAAAAGGAAACACGATTTCTGGAAGCTGAATCCAACGAGTGTTTGGAGAAGCCCTTCGTTTAATTTACGATAATTTAACTAAACTAAATTCTTTACCGATCGAATATAAAATAAATGGATAAAGAAGGCATAATTCACTAAAGATAACCAATGTAATGAAATTATCAATATCTAACTAAGGTAGCCAAAGAGCCTCCGTCGAGTTAATAAACGCACCATAAAACAATGAACGATAACACATAACGCAATGCATAAAGTTTTGAAAATCTAAAAATTTAAAGTATATATGATTTTTTTTTAATATATATATTTTCCCCATATGTTTAAGAGTTAATAGCCACTTTTCCACAAGAAGCCATTACGAACACGAAACTGCAAACTGACAATAAGTAGTAGATTTTGCTGTCTTAACAAGTTGTATGCTTCATTTGCTTAAGCATGCTTTTATAAAATACTCTAGGGAATATTTCTCTTTATTTATATGTTAGCTCATGGATTTGGTTGTGATTTTATCCACCGTTCAACAAAACCTTTAACCCAACAACACATAATTGAAGGATGATCAGTATCTAAACTTGATTACATTTCGTATGTCCAAAATATCAAATAACATTTACTTTATATACCCTAAACAATATGGATGAAATTAATAAAAAGAAGTACATAGAATCCTACTATGATCTAGATGAATTAATTAAAGATTTTTTTTTTAGTTTTCACTTATATTTCTTATACATTCTTTCTTTGAATTTGTTCACCATTTTGATATAATTGTTTTCATATTAGTTTAAACAACTCAGTAAGAATAATGTGTGGAATATAAATGTATATATTTCAGCCAATTAATTTCATGTAAAAATATTTTCTTTGTGACGTTTAAGAATATGCTTTCTTTTCACCTTTTGTCTCGACTATAAATTTCGACCATTGTCTACGTTCTTAGAGCACAATTCACTCTCTTCTTTAGAATCCTAAATCGTAAGCCACTTACATATTCTACATATGTGATCTATATATGATATAAGAAATATATATATTTAAATTAACACCTAGCCATATGTACAGTCACGAAACCATGCATGCACAATGAGGATCACACAAGCACATACATAAAAACATACATGCATTATAATTCCATATTGTTTATAACTTCATCTATATATATTAACTTTGGTTCTTTTTTTGTTTGTGTGGAGATTTTCAAGAACAAACAAAAAAAAGAGTCGAAGATGGCAACAAAATCCACAGGAGATATCGAGAAAACCAAGTCAACAGAAACGAAGAAGAAGTTAAATGTGCTGATCGTCGATGATGATGCATTAAACCGTATACTCCACGATAAGATCATCAAAACGATCGGAGGAGTTTCTCAGACGGCCAAAAATGGTGAGGAGGCAGTGATCCTCCACCTCGACGGCAAGGCATCCTTCGATCTTATCCTAATGGATAAGGAAATGCCCGAGAGGGATGGAGTCTCGGTACAACCCAATGATCTTATTATTCACTTGCTTACCCGACTAGACAATATCTAAGTGGCTCAATCATCAATTAACCTCCTCTTTGATATTTATGTTCTTTGTTGGTTTTCATTAGGCAACTAAGAAGCTTAGAGAAATGAAAGTGACGTCAATGATCGTTGGGGTGACGTCATTAGCTGACAACGAAGAGGAGCGTAAGGCTTTTATGGAAGCCGGACTTAACCATTGCTTGGCAAAACCCTTAACCAAGGACAAGCTTCTCCCTCTCATTAACCACCTCTTCGATGCTTAATGGTTGACGTCGTCTCATTATGTATCTAGCTATATCTATGTTTTCTATCGTTAAAAAATGCAATAATGTCTACACATACACGTGTATATGACATATATATATTATATATCTGGATGTGTGTTTCTTTTGAAATTTAGGGTTCTTTTCATATCTATGTTGTTTTTCTTTTATCGTCCTAGATGAATCATGTAAGTCGTTTCTTTTCGCTTATATAATATACTTCATATATTATACATCTCATATGGCCATACAACTCATGCAATATTCATATACCAACAAATCAACTAAATATCAAAAATCCATATCAACTATACACAAAAAATCTTACATATTTTCGAGATTCACTTTAAATTTCAAACAACTATCATATTTAATTTAAACAGATAATGAGTGTGTATTGTCACTGATTTCCTATGAATTAGATTACTAATTTTAATTAAATTATATATTTTGTTTGGTCTCAATTTTAGAAAATGATATATCGCGAATCTGACTATATTTAAGTTTCGTATATATTATTTTTAAAAGATACAGATATTATCGCATATGCTACATGTAGTTTGTAAAGATATCTTTCTTACTATCACTTTAAAATTATACATACTTTCACCATTCATAATTACTTTTCTCTATATTTTTTGCAAAAAGCAATTTACATTTCATATTATTATAGTTCCAATAACATATACTAGCTATATTATAGTATATATATCTTTTTGTTCTCTGCATATATATATACTTCAAATTATATTTTCCAATACTATAGGTCATAAAGAAGATAGAAAACAGCATATCTTACTTTGGATTTGATAAGGTGGTGGAAATACGAGTAAATTCTATTTTCAACGGCTTATATCATCTTAGCTAAATTTGATTAAGCATTGTGTGGTATTCATTCATAAGTACATATACTAATGTTGCACTATCAATTACATATATTTTTCTGCTATCAAGAAACTACGAGTCTTGGAACTACTCTTTAGTTTGATCAAAGATCTGAACATAGAAATTTAGCGACCTTGGAGTTTGGAGTATTGATCTTTTAGAGAAACGTTAAATTTTTATTAGATGTCTGTATTCAAATCAATTAGATAAACAACATCGACATAGAAACAATATTTATAATTTGTTTTTGCATTAGACAGTTCGAAATTTTTAATACAAACAATATAATGATTTTACAAGATCAATTTTAATTTTTGCGTATGTTCACATATTCTTGTAGAGTCAAAACTCCTAAATCTAAAAAGATTTGGTTATGAAAGTGTTAAAAGTGGATTATATTCCACGCTTTTGAGTTGTTTTGTTTAACTCCATATCTGTACTTCACATTTCAAAGCATCTACTTTGTCTATGGAAAGTACTAATTTGTAATATATAGGCAAACCAATTTCCACTTGGCTTTTTAGATGTATTGGTTTAAATCGGAAATGCTTGGGACCTTGAACCAAAAAATACAGTTAATTGAGTTCGAACTTTCTTCATATCTCAGGTTGCGATTAGAGTTCGAATATATCCTATATACCATAGCTTTTTAAGATTTATATATGATTTGATTAGAAAAACTAGAGTGTGTTTTTAGCTAAGCTGCATTTGTTGTGTGTGGCTCAGTTTCTCTTCAGCATTAATTAGTCTCCATTTGCTCTGTTTTTGTCTTGGTTTCTGCCTATTCTTTGATTAATAAATATTTTTTTTTTTTACTGTAAGATAATTAAACATACCAGAAATTAAAAGATAAACAAGGGTGTAGCTCAAGTAATTATGTATCAAGAATAAACATACTGATTTTTTGAGGTGTATATATAAAACAGTTCTTTTAACTATTCTAAGAACTTGATTTCCTTTTCACATCTTCATATTGACATATTGTTAATTATAACTATTCAACGTATTAATAGAAAAAATTATACATACATACGATGTACGTACTACAGGAAACTATTCTAAAAACTTGATATATTTTTTTTTTTCCTTTTTTTCGTAAGTATAGAACAATATACAACTTGATTTAATCGACAACTTCCCTTATTTTTATTTCGTTATCTCTGAACTCTTCTTCAACACGTAAGTATTCCTAGTAAATCTCCTTTTTATTTTTGAGAAATAGTATTCTTGTTTCCAAAATTCTTGTTTAAACACGATTAATTAGTTTATATGCACAACTTATTAAAAACAAAATTTTTTACTATACAAATAAAGTTTCATATGGCAAAATGGTTAACATGTCTCCGTTAAATATTTGAAATAATGGGTTCGAACCTTCCTTAATGCAGTTTGCACCCATTTTTTTTTTGTAGGTCCGCCCTTCAGTATATATATAATGAATAATTTGGATTCTTGTCGTGTTAAAGAGTTTCAATAGAAAAAAAGAAATCGATGAGAAAGAAAAAAGAATCGAGAGGAGATAAAATGGAGAAGAACATGTCGATGATATATAAGAAGAAACTAACGGTGCTGATCGTTGACGATGATCAATCTCGCCGTACACTCCACTTGGGAATCATTCAAATGGCTGGAGCATTTGCTTACATGGCTAGAAACGCCGAGGAGGCGGTGAACCTCCACCGTAATGGCGACTCTTTCAACCTCATTATCATTGATAATCAATGGAGTTCCCGTAAGTTAATCCCATCACGATATTCCTAAGAGTATATATTTTGATCGTTTAACTGGCTAGTATGATGCTTTTTCTTTTGTTTGGTTGGGCAGCTAATCAAGATGCTACGAGACATGAAGGTGACGTCAATGATCGTGGGGATGACGTCGCGTGAGGACGAGAATAGGGCATGCATGGAAGCTGGAGTTGACCACTGCTTGGTAAAGCCCTTAACCTTTGGAAAGATGGCTTCCATCATTGACCAGCTCAAATGCTCATCATGACAAACGCCACTACTACTAGATAAGGAGACTAAACCAAAAGCCTATTTCAACATTTAGCGATATTTCGCTTGGTTTAGCCCGGTTCTGTGACTAATGTTAACTAATCTGGTTCAATCCGATTGCTCACGTGATCTGCACATGATCATCGTCCCGTTTTATGATGATGATACTATGAATTTCAATTAACAAGAATCTAATAAATTTCAAATCACTTTATCCATTCCCCCAGTAAAAAAGAAAAAATCTTAAGACTTTGGCCAAAAGAAAAATGTCTCTCTTCTTCCTCAGTCCTCAATTTCCCTCCAACTCAATCCACCCAATTCCTCGTCGCGCCGCCGGTTTATCCTCCATTCGGTGCTCAATCTCTGCACCGGAGAAGAAGCCCAGGAGGAGGAGGAAGCAGAAGCGCGGCGACGCAGCAGATAATGACGACTCCTCGTCTTTCGGAAGCGGTGAAGCTGTCTCAGCCCTGGAGAGGAGTCTCCGCCTCACTTTCATGGACGAGCTTATGGAACGAGCTAGAAATCGAGACTCTTCTGGTGTATCCGAGGTTATCTATGACATGATTGCCGCTGGGCTTGCCCCTGGACCTCGTTCTTTCCATGGCTTGGTCGTAGCTCACGCTCTTAACGGCGACGAACAAGGCGCGGTAATTGCTTCTCTATAGCCTTTATCACAGATGTATTCTCTTAAGAATTCACTCAAATGCTGAAGCTAAATACTCTTATCGGATTCGCATTGTTGTGCTTTATTGAACTTGAGCAATAAAGTTCAATTTTTATATCCAAATTGGAACTTTCCTCTTTCTCGTTGCTTCTTGGGTGTGTTTGAAGTGAAAGATGAACATTTTTCTCTGTTTGGTGTGTGTGATTGCAGATGCACTCGCTGAGAAAGGAGCTAGGTGCAGGCCAACGCCCGCTTCCTGAAACAATGATTGCTTTGGTTCGACTCTCTGGTTCAAAAGGAAACGCTACGAGAGGATTAGAAATCCTTGCCGCTATGGAAAAGCTTAACTATGACATTCGTCAAGCTTGGCTCATTCTTGTTGGTATTCTCTCTTACCAACACTATTTGTTAGAATCAAATGCTTTTTTTTTTCTTTTTTTTTGTATCTACAATGCTTGGGGTTATTGAGTAATCGTTTATAATTGGATTGTGGTTTTTTCATAGAGGAGCTCATGAGAACCAATCACTTGGAAGATGCAAATAAAGTTTTCTTGAAGGGTGCTAGAGGTGGGATGAGAGCAACAGATCAGCTTTATGATCTGATGATTGAAGAAGATTGCAAAGCTGGAGATCATTCTAATGCCTTAGACATCTCTTACGAAATGGAGGCAGCTGGTAGAATGGCGACAACATTTCATTTCAACTGTCTTCTTAGTGTGCAGGTTTGTCATGGTATTTTGGAACGTATACCCACGCTTATCTTTGTCTGGTGAAGAAGGTTATGCCTTTTAGTTGATATCAAATAGGTTTTTCTTTGCTTCCATTGTGTAGGCTACATGTGGGATTCCCGAGGTAGCTTATTCGACTTTTGAAAATATGGAGTATGGTGAAGGTTTGTATATTTATTTTTCAGCTGATTCCCGCTTCAAATGTTTGGTCTAGTTGTTGTGTAATGGCTTCTGACATTGCTTGATGTAATCTTGATTTGATAGATTTTATGAAACCTGACACTGAGACATATAACTGGGTGATTCAAGCCTATACAAGAGCTGAGTCATATGATAGGTAATTCATATGAGGTTTAGTTGCTTTCATTCATCTTAAAGGTGGACAAATTTGTATGTAGCCGATTGAATGAATCACAGGGTTCAGGATGTTGCTGAATTACTTGGAATGATGGTTGAGGACCACAAGCGTGTGCAGCCAAACGTGAAGACTTATGCGTAAGAAAATCTTTATTTCATTCTGTCTTGCACCCCTTTATTACCCAGTTTGCATTTCAACCCGTTCTATTGTAATACCCCTAATATGATCTGTATAATGATCCATTTCAGGCTCTTAGTTGAGTGCTTTACGAAATATTGCGTTGTGAAGGAAGCTATTAGACATTTTCGTGCTCTGAAAAACTTTGAAGGAGGAACAATAGTTTTATACAACGCTGGGAAATTTGAGGATCCTCTCTCGTTGTATCTCCGGGCTTTGTGTCGAGAAGGTATGCATACACTTCTTCATGTGTAAAATACTAATATGCAGAGGCATATGTGAACACCTTCTGGGACATTGTGAGAATATATTATTAGAGCTATTCATATTTATGGTTCTCTGTTTTTTATACTTCTATGTATTACCTTTGTTTGTTGCTTTTTAGGACCTATGTTGGTGACAAGCTTTTCTTTCTTCCATTTACTGTTTTTAAACTATACTCTCTACCTTTGAACCAGGAAGAATTGTTGAGCTTATAGATGCTTTAGATGCAATGCGCAAAGATAACCAACCTATACCTCCAAGAGCCATGATTATGAGCAGAAAATATCGAACACTAGTCAGCTCATGGATTGAACCATTGCAAGAAGAAGCTGAACTTGGCTATGAGATTGATTATTTAGCAAGGTAAAAAACTGGAGTTCTGCGTGGTTTGACTGGAGATTTTTACAAGTTATATTCTAATGTTCTATTCTAATTGGCTGAAAGAAAGTTATGTGTTTTTTCATGTTGTTGTCTTGATATACTAAGATTCGCACTCTGTAAACATTTTCAGGTACATCGAGGAAGGGGGGCTTACTGGTGACCGCAAGCGTTGGGTACCTCGAAAAGGGAAAACTCCTTTAGATCCCGATGCTTCTGGGTTTATATACTCAAACCCTATTGAAACATCCTTTAAACAGAGATGCCTTGAAGATTGGAAAATTCACCATAGGAAGCTGTTAAGAACCTTACAGAGTGAAGGTCTTCCAGTTCTAGGAGATGCATCCGAATCTGATTACATGAGAGTGATGGAGAGATTACGAAACATAATTAGAGGTCCTGCACAGAATCTTTTGAAGCCGAAGGCAGCAAGCAAGATGGTTGTATCAGAGTTAAAGGAAGAACTTGAAGCTCAGGGTTTGCCAATTGATGGAACCAGGAATGTTCTTTACCAGCGAGTCCAAAAAGCAAGGAGAATAAACAAATCTCGAGGTCGACCTCTTTGGGTTCCTCCAATTGAAGAAGAAGAGGAGGAGGTAAATTTGTGCTCCTTTCTTTCAACTGGGAAAACATGTATCTCAACGCATGTAATAAATTTCATTTTTAAATATAGGTTGATGAAGAAGTAGACGAATTAATATGCCGAATCAAGCTACACGAAGGAGACACAGAGTTCTGGAAACGTCGGTTTCTTGGAGAAGGCTTGATTGAAACGTCAGTTGAATCCAGCGAAACAGCTGAAACAGTAGCTACAGGTGAGTCGGAGATCACAATTAAAGATGCTGCAAAAGAAGCTGATGATGATGAGGATGATGATGAGGAGGAAGAACAGGAAGGGGATGAGGATGATGATGAAAATGAAGAGGAAGAAGTGGTAGTTGCAGAAACTGAGAATCGAGCAGAAGGAGAGGATTTAGTTAAGAATAAGGCAGCTGAAGCTAAGAAGCATCTTCAAATGATTGGAGTTCAACTCTTGAAAGAATCTGATGAAGCAAACAGAACAAAGAAACGTGGGAAGAGGGCATCTCGTATGACACTTGAGGTGTGTGTGTATATGTTTATGAATTTATTAGTCACATGTTCATTAATATGATAGTTTAAGCATGTTTGCCAATGCCGACTACATTCATCAGGATGATGCAGATGAGGATTGGTTCCCTGAAGACCCATTTGAAGCATTCAAAGAAATGAGGGAAAGGAAAGTATTTGACGTGTCTGACATGTATACAATAGCAGATGTTTGGGGTTGGACATGGGAGAAGGATTTTAAGAACAAAACTCCGAGGAAATGGTCACAAGAGTGGGAAGTCGAGTTGGCAATGGTACTCATGACAAAGGCAAGAGTCCCTTCAAACCTGTAAATCATTATTATATAAATTTCTTTGATCAATGTCAATAGTATAACAATAATAAACATAATCATGAGTTCGTATAGGTGATTGAATTGGGTGGAATTCCAACGATTGGCGATTGTGCGGTGATATTGCGAGCTGCTGTAAGAGCTCCCATGCCTTCAGCCTTCTTGAAGATCTTGCAGACGACACACAGTCTTGGCTACTCTTTTGGCAGGTAACTCAGTTACAACCACTCTTTTGGATTTAGTCAGTAAGAGAAACTAGCCTAAGGCGTTCAATATGACTAAACTTGACTAGAACCAATGACATCTGAATACCGGGTCTTTTACTGCAGCCCGTTGTACGATGAGATTATCACATTGTGTTTGGACCTTGGAGAACTTGATGCAGCCATTGCCATAGTGGCAGATATGGAAACCACAGGGATCACTGTCCCTGATCAAACCATTGACAAGGTCATATCTGCTAGACAATCAAATGAGAATCCCCGGTCTGAGCCTGAAGAACCACCATCAACAGGAAGCTCTTAGTTTATTCTTTTTCCGCTGCTTACTGTGAAGCTCTCTATAAGAAACATAAATCGGAAGAAGCAGCAGAATCTGCCTTAATTATGAAATTATTGGTCATAATATGCCAAAAAAAAAAAAAAAAAGATCCATAGATAGTTGAATCTGAAGTACAAGTGAAGTTCCCAGTGTAGAACCAGTCCCCTCCACTCTGATGCTTAGTTCTTTTACTAGTGCTATATATAAGAAACACACATAGCAAGAAGTACAAAATTCCATATAAAGTCAAATAAAAGGAAGACAAAATAACATTTTTTCATTTTAAAGCAATTGACATAAGTTTGTTTTTGAAGATTTACTTACTTCCTTTCTAGTCTTTTAAATAAGAAGCCATGAGAA